ACACACACACACACACACACACAGACACACACACACACACACACACACACACACACTGTTCAGCCATAAAGTACAATGCTTAGATTAAAGGTATTGCTAATAAGATCATTAATTTCATATCTGATCTCCAGATGCCTAATTATCAATTACCTATTTTTATACACGTATACAACTCTTGCCTTATCCAAATTATCAAATGCATCCGAAAAACTAGAAAACATTTATTCTTAAAATATATGCACCCCTATGTTCATTGCAGCATTATTCAAGGTGCCCAAGACATGGAGAGGGTAAAAATGTCCTTCCATAGAGGACCAGTTAAAGATGTGGGACATGTACACAATGGAATGTACTCAGCCATAAGAAAAGATGAACTATTGCCATTTGCGACAACATGGACGGACCTTGAGAATATTATGCTAAGTGAAATAAGTCGATCAGAAAAAACTAAGAACCATATGATTTCAGTCATGTGGAATATAAAACTGAAACTCATAGAGACAAACAACAGTATGATGGTTACCACAAGGGGTGGGGGGACTAAAGGGTAAATGGGGCCAAATATATGGTCATGGAAGACGATTTGGCTTTGGGTGGTGGGCACACAATGCAACATGCAGATCTTGTGTCACAGAAATATGCACTTGAAATCTATATGATCCTATTAACCAATGTCACCCCAATAAATTAAAAGAGAAAAAAACTCCACAAAAATATTTAATGTTTAATTAATAATGAAACAGTAAAATTTCCTGTTAAATGTTAAAAAACAACAACATATTATCAGATGCATTACTAGCACTCTTTTGGTAATTCTTAGACAATAAAGAAATAGTTCATATTTGAGTTTCTTGGTGAGTTTTATTCTATCATTTTATATGTCACTGGATTCAAATTAGATATCTTGAGTATAAGATAGCGCAGATATTTAAAGGAGAAATTTATTCTTTCATTTGTTGGCAAACTGACAAAATAAGCATTGGTCTCAAGAATTAAGAAGGGTCCATTATTTTTATTAAATTAGCAACATTAACTCTTAAAACATCAACATGCCTGGAGAGATTCTGGAAACGCACACGCTCAGCTTTTTCTCGAATGGATCACGATTTCTCTGAAACAATAACTTTTTCCCTAAAACTACATATTTCACAAACAATTAGATGTTAAATATTTCCACAGGTCCAGTAAAAGTGGCCTTATTTCTTGTATTTCTTTCTGGATAAATTGGTATATGTCCAATTGTAACCTCATTGATGCTTTACACTATTACACTGGGTATTTGGAGAAATGTTCATTTTCCCCAGAGAATAAATACTGACTGAGTAATATGCAAAATTCTGAATAATCGTTTCTTACATTTAAAGAGTTTTTTACAGTTCACTATAGAGTTTAATAGATAACTTCACAACAATAAATGACTTAGAGAAAATTCTTACTTCCAAAAACCATTTTATAGAAGATGCTAAGACTGTTATCTTGAGTTACAAAGAAACTGGGAGAGTGTTTCTGCACCAAGGACATTTATTTTTCTAATAGAACAATGTATCCCTTCCATCAGACCTGTGTTTATTGTTCCATGTGCATGTGCACTGGGCAGGTATGCGTTTCTCTATTTTGTGTTCAGAGTTTCAAAAACTCTAGAAAAAACTTTATCAACCCTTTTCTCAGTATGAATCCAACTGTAATCCTTGGAGGCTCATAACGTGTTAACTAACATAGACACACTTTAAAATTATTCTTTTATTGAGCAATCTAATGTACTTAAGTATTGCCTGATTTGCTTTTAGTCTTTTCTACATAGTCAAGAATGAATTTTAAATAACTGGAGTATACTTTGATAGAAAACAGCTACTTTTTAAACATGGAATAATATTATATATGAACAACATGTAGGAGTTATCATCTGACTTTAATTAAAAACAAGATGACAAAAAAAAATGAACAGATGAAAAACATTACTGGTGAGGAAATCCTAATAGAAATGGGGTGATTTTGATTGTGAAATCTGCCAGTCTCAGACTTGTATAAATGCAGTCATTGTTGCCAGGTTTGATTAATGACAGTTGTACAATCGTGTGCTGACAGTCCCCACCATAGAGATACCTTTTTTTCCTGATATGAAGCACTGCTGAAAAATGCAACCCAATCAGATTTGGCCCCCGGACAACATGTGCTATCATCACTGTACCGTGAATTGAGATTGATTGGTAACCAGCTGTGACAAAGTGGGAAAGAAGCTCTGGTTTTGTGTTGTTTGTTTCCCACCGGGGGGAAAAAAAGGAAATGAAAACGGAATTGTGTCAAAACCATTACCATCTGTTCAGCTAAATAATAAACTAAACAAAATAAATTTATTTTAATACTTAAAATAACAGTTTGTATGCAAGTTCCTGTTTGTGTGTGAACTTATATTTGATGAGTAATCTTAAAAGTGTTTCCAAAGAGAAAATATTATTCATTTTTTTAAGAAACAGAGTCCTACATTTTAAAATCATTTCCAAATTTAAATGAAAGAATCTATTTTAATTCTTCCTCCTAGAGAACTTTTCTCTTTTGGAAACATTTCCTATAAATCTGAATTTACTTTGAAAATATCAAACAAGATTTGAAAAATGGTAAAATTTCATTGCACAACCACATTTCATACATTTCTCTCACTTTGCAATCCCTGATGTACATAAGCTTCTAGGGTAGAAACTTTGCATGATTTCCTGGGTTTTGTGAATATAACTCAGATAATTTAGGGACCTTCCCCTTCAAGTTTTCCCCAGTGGCTTTAGAATTTGGGAAAGAAAAGAACAAAAAACATACATTACAAATTCTGTTACAAAGTGGAAGTTTACCATGTTCAATTCAAGGCTGTGCATCTCACTGCCTTGTTTGGACTCCATGAGAGCCCTACACTAATGAAACTTCCTGAATGGCCATTTTCATCTCAAAAGCACATTTGTTTTTCATGGGAGGAAATTTATTTTCTCAACATTTTTGGTTTTTGAAATCACCTACTGCTTCTTGCTATTGGAGATGTCTGGCTCCAATTCTAAAACAAGTGTTTTGACTTAGCACTTAAAATTTTATTGCCTATCTGCTTTATTAATCATTAAGTTGGCCAATAGTAAACACTATGAATTTAACCAGGAAGTGTTTAATGTCTATGCAAGTAAATATGTCTTTTTTAAGGGAGACTTGAAGTTTGTTTTCAATTTTCTAAAGACTTGCACTCAATCCAAATACCTGAAGATCACCTTATACCTTTTAGACTCTTTCAGAGAATAAATGTCTGCAGCTGTAGGCATCCCATAGTTCCATAATTCAATAAAAATTTAACTATGGGGCTTCTATATGAAAGGGTCACAGAGTTTATTTCCTGTTTCAAACAGAATCATTTTTAGGGTAAAAATCACTTATTAATCTTATAAAATCATTCATTGATAATTAAAGACACACCTTTAAACTGATGGATGCCACAGTAGGGATTATAGTGGAAATGGAGATACATCTATTTAGCAGGCAGTGATGAAGTATTTCAACTGATTAAAAAGAAAGGTGCATTTTAACACCTCACAACTTTGAATCAAGGTACTCTTCTACATAATATAAACTTTCTGAAAGAAATTTAAACCTTTTGCCTCTTTCACTCGACAGCTAAAAATAGGAAAAGTTGCTCAATTTTTATGAAACGATTTTTCTGTTCACAATTTTTCAGTCAAAATCCTTCCACAGACGATACTTGGTATTAAAACTCACGTAAGTGCTTCTTGGCAACCTAAATCCCAGGTGATATTTTCTTAATCTTTAATATTTAAGGTGTATCCTACAGTTAAGCTCTTAAATCACAATTGAGGTCTGGACCTTAAAATAAGCACAACTGGCCATTAATACTTTGCTGGCAAATGGATACGGAGTCGAGTTTACCACGCGTTGCAGCCAACCTGAGTTACAGTCCTCTTCGTGTCTACAATCACAACGCAGGCAGGGCCTGGGTAAAGACATCTTCACCTATTCTTTCAGTTAGGTCACCAGCATTTCTGGGCAGGTGCCGAAGAGCAGTATAAAAGGACAGATGTCCCTTTAAAAATGAAAATTGATGTAACATTCACTGAAAAAGAAAAGGCAACAAAAATCTTGGGAGGTTAGGCTTGTATGGGAATAGAGAGGGAAGGTGTCTCTGAAGGTAAGGTGTCTCTGTTGCTGTTCTGCTCTGGAAGCTTCTCCTGAAAGCCAAAGTGAACCTTGCAATATGATGGCCTCTGACTCTGCCTGAAATAACCAGACTACTTTCAACTCTCTTGTCCTCCCTTACATGCTATCCTGTAACCTCCAACCCTTGCCAGCCTGACCAATAGATGGAAGACTCCTCGACTGCATCTCCCTTTAGCACAGCTGAGAGAGCAGGACATCTTCCAACGAAAAAGCTAAGAGAACACAGACAAGATAAAAAGATGTTTTAAAACATCCACAACAGATAACAATAGTTGGTGAAACAGGGTGCAGATTTCAGATCACAGGGCAATTAGGCCCAAAGACCACAGCCGGGCAGCAGGACACCCGCCACCTTGCAACCAGAGCCTGTCTTTGGAGCTTGAGCAATTAAACCAAATGGCAGCTGAGCCCTTCCAGAAAGGCCAAAGCATCCTGCTCACCCCAAACTAAAAGTGCCTGCAAGTTTTAATCAGTGAGGCTGTGGCTATCTTTTGTGTGCCCTTGTCTCTCCCATCTTCTCCAAATATGACAGACCATGGAGACCCCAGGGATTAATTCTCTTGGCAAATCTGTGGACATCTGAGCTTCACAGCCTGTTGTCT